GACATTTTTGCTCTGATGGGGAAGGTAACTCTATTTCTGATCACCATTTTAATAGTTCAACAAACAGAAATGTCCTGATTGATGTTCAGTTGTATAGATGCACATTTTTGATTGACGTTTTTCAAAGGTTTACATCTTAAAGGTGATGTGTGTATTTTAATTTTTTTAATATTAATACTTTTTAAAATACCATGTAGAATCAGCTTAAAGTAAGTGATTCAGAGGCTGATAAATGTTGAAGTGAAATTTCATGTCTAGGTTACACTTCATCTCAAAAATATAAGAAACGTGGGAAACTATGTTAGAGATAATGAAAAAGGAGGCTGCGTTATTTTCATGGCAATTAAATAGCAATAATAAAAATAAAATATTGTATTGTGCATAAATGAAAGGCAATGCAATTTGTTTTGTAATGCTCTAATTGTGTCTTTCTGTCAGGTACATTATTATGAATTTCGTCAGAATTATTCTGGTGCGTTAGAGACCATCAACCAAGTGATTGTGAGTTACCCGTCATTTCTACCTGCCCTGGTCAAGAAGATGAAGCTGCTGTTGACGCTACAGGACTGGGAACAAACCGTGGATGCAGCTCAAAGGTAAAACCTTAATTTAATGGTTTAAGGAATATTTGTTGTTGTTGTTGTTTTTTTTAATACATAAATGCACTCTAAAAGCTCTCAAAGACTTTCAGAAGCGAGCTGCATTCAAGTGCAAATGGAAATTAGATGTGATTCCATGGATTTGTACAGAAAGACTGGATCATTGTTTCTCTTTCCCTGTTGGATGAGGGCCAGTGAGCGGCAGAATGAAAAGGGCCTTTTAGACCTCAAAGGGTCTGTGTGAAAACCAGTTCTCTCAGGTGGAGCTGGATTGTGATTATTCAAGCTAATTTATGTACAGTATTTGCTCTAAAATTGCTTTAAAGAGACATTTTGTAAATCAGAGGGACTATGATTTAAACTAAACATTCATTACAGATCAAATAAAATGAATGCAAGAAGTAAAATACGTGAAGAAAAAAGTCAAATAATCACTGTTTTCCACTAAATGTACATAATATTTAATCATTTTCATTAATATGCATGAATATAGCAATAAATAAATAATAAACACCACAACGTTCACTTCCATATACTTTTTAAAAACATGAAAATATAATGTAGGAACTGCTGTGCTGATGCAAATAAATTGTTGAATTGAATCACTTTGAATTGATTCTTTGAGATTGACCATTTAAACTGATTCCTTGAAATAAATCATACTCTAACACCAAAAGGACTGTCGAAAGTTTAGTTGTTTAACATGAAAACACAATATAATAAAATTCTTCTGCAATAAAAACCGATGAGAGGCACATCTGCCTGAATAATTTGCACATATCATACCTGTACATTAGGGCTGCACGATTATGACAAAAATCATAATTGTCGAT